GGGTGGAGGATGAGGGGCTGTGTTTGGCCATGGGGTGGAGGATGAGGGGCTGTGTTTAGCCATAGAGTGAAGGGCAGCACCCCGCGCAGTTCCGAGTCCCGGGCGCTCCGGGGCAGCGCTGAGGGCGCTGAGGGCACAGCCCAGTCCCGCCGTTCCCGGCCCCGCGGCCCCGCGCAGGCGCAGCGCTCGGGCGGGATGGCGGCGGCGGCGGCGGCCGTGCCGGGACCGGGACCGGGACCGGGATCGGGGCCCGCGGAGACGGCGGCGCCCGGGGAGGAGGCGGCGGGTGCGGGGCTGCAGGGCCCGGGTTCGTCCCGGCTGGCCCGGCTGCCGCTGGCACGGGTGAAGGCGCTGGTGAAGGCGGACCCGGACGTCACCCTGGCCAGCCAGGAGGCCGTGTTCGTGCTGGCGCGGGCCACGGTGAGSGGCGGCCCTGGAGCCGGAGCGCTGCGGGATGCGGGCATGCTGCTCGGCCTTTCCCAGAAAGGTTTTTCCGTCTCTCCCGGGCGGTGGCAGCTGACGGCTCTCACAGCGAGGGACCGGCGGGGCAGCTGCACCTAGCCCGAGCTGGGGAATGCTCTGGAGCCCCGGGAACGGCTGAGGGAGCTGGGGTGGGGGGGCTCAGCCTGGAGAAAAAGAGGCTCGGGGGACTTATGTCTCCTCACAGCTCCCTGACAGGAGGGTGCAGCGGGGATTGTCGATCCCTTCTCCCAAGTAACAAGGGACAGGACAAGAGGARACGGCCTCAAGCGGCACCAGGGGAGGTTTAGGATATTGGGAGAATTCCTTTATGGAGAGGGTTGTCAAGCTGTGGCAGCGGCTGCCTGGGGTAGTCACCATCCCTAGAGCTGTTCAGAAATACCTGATGTAGTACTTGGGCACGTGGGGTAGTATTGAACATGGAGGTGGTGCTGGGCTGATGGTTGAACACAATGATCTTAGAGGTATTTCTCCACCTCAACGATTCTGTGATTCATCTCCTGAGCACAGGACACCTTTCCTCCTTCAGAAAGGTGCCCTGGTAGCTCCTGGTGGTGGAGAAGGTCTCCCAGACCTATTTCAAGGAACCCACACTCCTAGCCTCCCTCTTTTGTCTGTCCTGTGTATCACTGTCCAAATATTTCCTTTGGTGTTTACTGGGAAGAGGTAATGTTAGGAGGAAGGTTCTGATTTAATCCAGAGGTCTTGTAGGACCTTTCTTTTCCTCAGGATATTCTCTCTCTCATCTTCTATGTGAACCTGTCCTGTTTTGCCTTGCAGGAGCTGTTTGTTGAAACCATAGCCAAAGATGCTTATGTGTATGCCCAGCAAGGAAAAAGGAAGACCCTGCAGAGAAAAGATCTCGGTATGGGAGCATGTTCTGCACTGGCCTTAGCAAAGGGGTGGTGGGATGGGGAATTTTTCTGCCTGTCTGGAGGTGCTGAAGCAATTATGGATTCTTCTCTTTCTTTCCCTGAAGATGGAAAGATGTACTGTGTATTAGAGAGTACACTAATTTTCACRCACCAGCTCCAAAACAAGTAAACCTCTTTGAAATTGGTCACTGTGCTGTGATGTAATTTYAAATGCTGCCATTAGAAACAGATGTAAATATGGAGCTGATTTATCTATGTTAATTGTTCTCAATTTGCTTTTCAGATAATGCCATTGAAGCTATTGATGAATTTGCTTTTTTGGAAGGTGAGTTTCTACTTGGTTTCAGTATTTTGTGTAATCATCTGTTTGGGAGAGACAGCTGAATCACGGGCAAAGCTCTCTGTTTCTACATCTTCAGTAATTCTGAGTGTGGCTTGCTATGCCCCTCTGAGCCCTGGGATAGCTTAAGCTGKCCCTGAAGCATGTGCAGTACCTTTTTGTCTAGATTTGGTTTTACCTGTATGTGACTTGTGTAAACTTTGAAGTTACTGCACTTTCTTTTGTCAGGTTGTAAACAAGTTTTATTTGTTCACAGAACTGTGCTTCTGATTCCTGAGACTGTAATGTGTTTTTTTGTTTTCAGGTACTTTGGACTGAGCTGGACAGAGACAGAGATTTCTGGAGAAAGAGACTGYAGAGGTGGTGTGAGATGGAAAACARGATTTTGAGGGTTCAAATATAATTCTTAGAATCAAGACACTGAAATTGAGACATGGCAACCATGATATTTTGTATAAAGTTGAAGTTGTTGTAAGTTCTTTATTTAAAATGCATATTTTTTCATAACTGTTTTGTATGTCTCTTCCTTGTGTGCTGCGGCTGCAGTGCAGCCTGCTCTCTGCTCCCAGGTTACTCCCAGTAGTAGTCTCAGCCCTTCCAGATACTCTGCAGCATCACAGAGCTGTGAGCAGAGAGTGGCTTGGCTCAGGTACCCAGGCACAAGGAATTTTTTTAATGGAAGTGTGGGTTTTGTTATATATGTTTGTCTCTTAACACAATTAAATTTTTTATTTTTTTGTTGTTGTTGAGCAGCTGTGCTGAGTTCTGCTTTGGGCTGGGCTGGAGCTAATGGTGTTCGTGTAGCCTGGTGGTAAATGGTTTTGATAGGACACCTTCTCGTAGCATTTTGGTTTTGCTAATTGTTTCCTGAAGGCATCCATCCCAGAGAAACTCAACTGTCCTCCAGGAACTGGGAATGAGCTCCAGTGGAACTCAGCTTGTTCYGAGGGCTCTGCAACTTCCATAAATGTATGCAATTGTTGCACTTGTAAGTAATTGTAGCAAAAAAGTCTCCAACCCAACCTCCTGAGCCTCATTTTGAATGCCAGAGGAGTGTCCATGCTACCATCAGCTGTTCCCTTGTGTCCTCTCACTCCTGAATCTGCCAAAAACTCCTGTTTTCCCTGGGAACTGGATCTGTTCCCTGCCCCTGGCCAAGTTGGTGCAGAGATCCCGAGATCTGTGATGAGGAGCTGTGTCCATCCTGTGTTCATGAGCACTGCTATCAGCCATGGGCACGTGGGCACCAGCACTGCCTCTGCTGCTTCCAGGACTCTGGTGACTGGAGCTTTCCTGCTTTTAACTAGTGCTTTCCTACATGGATTTAACAGCAGAACTGTGGCCGTGGGGAACACGCTGCCATCACTGCTGTAACGTCCTGCCCTGTTGCCAGCATTGTCCAAGTGCCAGCTCTTGACTCTTTGGTGTGGGGAGGGACAGGACAGGGCTGTCCCCAGATAAAACCATTGAATGGGATGCAGGAGGATAAAGGATGCATTTTTCTTTCAAAGAGGAGATTTGAGAGTGACTCCCAGGTCACTACAAAAATTAATTTGGAAGTGGTGGTAAGAACAAAGACCCCCAGGAGAGCTTCCCYAGGCTGGCAGCAAATCCAGTGGCTCTCAAGAAACACTTTGAAGTTTGCTGGGAGCCTTATKGAAGCCTGATCATGCTGGAAGCACAGTCCTGGTCATGTGGGAGAGGTGCTCATTGCCCGGGCTGCCAAGGTGCTTGTTCAGATCACAATCTGGGGACATTTGCCGGGATATGCAAGCCCATTTGGCTTACAACTGTTCACCTTCTCACCTGCCAGGGAGGGCAAGTATAAGTGTYAGAGGTACTGGAGACTTTCCTGTGCTTCCCAGGGTGCATCATGCAGGACCTACAAGCTGTGGTCTTCCTCACAGGGCTCTTGCAGGCTCCCATCTTTGCCAGTAAGTTCCTTTTTCCTTCTTGTTGTCCTTGGCACTGCTTCGGCCTCTGGYGTGGGAGAGCAGAGTGGGTGTGATGTGGAGCTGTGGTGGGCTCTGCTCTCATCCAGTGCTGCTCTAGGGGTTGGTGTGTGTTTTCCACAGTAACAGCACAGAGGAGTGTCTGCACTTGGCAAACAGCGTGGGGTTTGTGCCGAGGCAAGCTGCTGTGCAGGAATCTGGGGGAATTTAGTGCCCATGAGCTCCTTTGTGCTGCACGAGGTGACTGCTCTTACCCAGCTCTGCASTAAGGTCTAAGTAGAAGAGAGCAGATAAACAGTGCCAGAGTGTTTTCTTGGAGTAATTGAACAGGGTGTTCAGCCTACCCAGTCAGGGTCAGATGTATTGTGTGCCTCTAGAACTAAATCTCTTCCTTACGGTGGAGTCACTTGGTTCAGGATAGAGGGTGTCTGGAGCTGTGCTGGGCACTCAGCACAGGCAGGGGAGGTGGGAGTTGGAACTGGGGTAATGCCAGGTGCAGTGGTTTGTGATCACAGGTGCTGGAGCCTTCAGCAGAGTGGAGGAGCAAGAGAATCTGTTTGCAGAGAGGGGCTGCTGCAGGAGGCAGAGCCATTTCCTCCAGGTTGGGCAGGGTGAGTTCATAAAATCATGGAATAGTTTGGATTGGAMGGGATCTTAAAGCTCATCTTMTTCCACCYCCTKCACAGGCAGGGACACCATGCACTAGACCAGGTCACTCCAAGCCCTCTCCAACCTGGCCTTGAACAYTTTGAGGGATGGAACAGCCACAGATTCTCTGACTTCCCCTTCACCCTCCAGAAACCAAGATCCTTGATGCTTCCACACTCACATCCCTTGGCTGTTTTTTATGTTGAAGCTTTCCAAGTGACTTTATCCCTTGGATAGAAGTGTGCTGGGGACCCAGATAATCCAACACTTTTTTTGTGGCACAGGAACTGATGAGTAGCCTGACACCATTTTCATGAAGGAGATCAGTTCCCTGGACCTGAGCTGYAGTGTGGTTGATTCTGTGTTTGAATTCCCTATTTGCTAGTTTATTGCTTCATAAGCTCAGGACTACTGCAGACTTTACTTCCCTGGCTCAGGATTGATGGTGAAAGTGCTATCAGCAGGACAACAAGCTGCCCTGAGAAAGTAGAGRAAGCAGAGGAAATAGAAAGCAGCTYCATTWGTTCACCAGAAAAAAGGTCTGTGGCCTTCAGGAGCAGCCTGTGGGTCCAGTTCCCCTTTGCAGTGGCTGCAAGGACACAACAGCTTCACACTCTGAGGTTTCTTAGGATTTTTCAGTGCACAGGAGCATGACTTGTACAAATTTAATTTTTAGTGTTTGCCAAATACCAGCTTCTTGTGTACAGTAGGAATGATAAAATTGTATMAAATTAAGAGCTGTTACAAGCAATGACAGCTTGTCAGCTCCAGAGGCAACAACTTKAGAAGAGTAAATKATGATGAAATASAATCACAGAATATGCTGASTTGGAAAGGACTCACAAMGACTGTCAAGTCCAGCTCCCTGCCCTGCACARAGCCATCCCCAAGAGCCACAGCATTGTCCAGATGCTCCTTGAGCTCTGTCAGGGTTGGTGCTGGGACCATTCACTGGGGAGCCTGACCACCCTCTGGGGGAAGAACCTTTTTGTAATACCCAACCTCAGCCYYCCTGACACAACTTCAGCCCATTCCGTTGGTCCTGTCACTGTCACCCCAGAGGAGAGATCAGTGTCTGCCCCTCCTCTTCCCTGCACAAGGAAGTGATAATGTCAGTGAGTTATGAAAGGGGAGCCTCAGCCTCGTGCAGGCTGAACAGAACAAGTGCTCTCAGCTGCTCCTCAAATGATCTCCCCTCAAGCCCTTCACCATCTTTGTTGCCTTCCTTTGGACACTCTCCAACATCTTCAAATCCTTTCTTGTGGTGTCCAAAGTGCCCCCAGCACCCGAGGTGAGGCTGCCCCACTGCAGAGCAGAGCAGGACAATCCCTCCCTGGCCTGGTACCCCCAGGACACAGTGACCCTTTGGGCTGCCAGGACACACCGGGGACTCTGATCCAATTTGCCACAGACCAGGACTCCCAGATTCCTTCCTGTGGCGCTGCTCTCCAGCCTCTTGTTCCCCAGTCTGTCCCTGCATCCAGGGCTGCTCTGTCCCAGGACAGGATCCAGCACTTGTCCTTGTTGAGCATCACACGGTTGGTGATGACCCAGTCCCCTGATTTGTTGAGAAGGAAGGGGCATCCCTTCCTTCAAGGGAGTCAACAGCTCCTCCCAGTTTTCCATTGTCTGTGAAGTGTCCTTTCCAGTCCTGCACCCAAGACATTTTTGAATATGCTGAAGATCACAGGGCTGAGAATGGAGCCCTGCAGATCCTCACTAGTGCCCAGTGCCTGCCTGTTGTCACCCCAGCCACTGTCATCCTCTGTGCCTGACCCATGAGCCAGTTGCTCACCCATCCAATGATGTGTTCTTCCAGCTGTGGGATGGACAGTTTGTCCAGAAGGATATTGTGAGAGTATTGAAAGCTTACTGAAATCCAAAAAGATGRCATCACCTGGCTTTCCTGGATTAGCCTGGTGGGCCACCTTGTCATAAAAGCTGTGATAAGCAGGACTTTCCTCTCAGGAAGCCATGCTGCCTGTGAGCAGTGACTGTGTTGTCTTCCAGATGTTTTTTAACATCTCCCAGAATGATCTTCTTGATAACTTTACCAAGCACTGAAGTGACACTGACAGGCCTGTAGTTTTYGGGATCTTCCTYGCTCTTCTTRAAAATCAGGACAATGTTTGCCACCTTCCAGTCACCATCAACTTCCTTGGCTTCCCAAGAGTGCTCAAAAGTCATAGAGAGATATATGTAAAATGTTTGTCTAAAATAAAAAACCACAGCTTGTATGGCAGCAGAGCAGGGGTTAACAGTGTCTTCATCTGGCTCAGTGTCCTTTGCCAAGTGCCAGCTGTCTGCACCCTGCTGTGAGTGAGGAGCATCCATGGGAGTCACAACTGGAATGGTTGATCAGCTGGGAATTGCTGCCTGGCTTCCTGCTCCCTCCTTCCCTGTGCAAAGGGACCCTAAGGCAGCCAGCAACAGCTGCACTCCAAGTGGGAGTTRCAAATGTCCCTTCATGTTTCCTGGTCTCCTGCAGCTGGCACTGACAATCCATTTTTAAGTCAATGCAAAATTTACATTTTTGTAGCTCACACTGGGTATGGGACTTCAGCAGGTCAAAGCAAAAGGATTACAGTGGTGCTGGACTATGCTGTGGGCACTTTTCATGCAAGTTTTCTTCCCTATTATCTGATGAAATAAGGATTTACATTAATAAATCTTAGAGTACAGACACTGCTATTAGGGGAAACCAGCTCATTTCAAATGGGTTTCCAAAAGACACAGTCTTTAGCCAATAAACACTGATAATTTGTAAACTCAAAATACGGCAGAGCAGACCAATCCAAACCTGGATGCTGTGGTCCTGTGTCTACCCTGCTCCCAACACCCAATCCTGCCTTCCCATCCTCTGATGCAGAGCTGATGTGCTGATGCAGGAGGTGTGGACAGCTGGAAATTGGGGTTTGGCGGTGAGGGACAGGTTTGTTTCCAGCTCAAGCAGCTTCACCAGGTTCCAAGAATGAGCGCTCCCACTGCCCTGGGCCTGGAACCCACTGGGCTGAGGCTCACTCATCATGGGCAAGGTCTGTGGTTTTCCCTTTTCCCTTTGTTAATCAGGGCATTCACCTGTTCTCACCCCATCCCTTGTGCTCACTAAAGAAAATAAAGCCTGTGGTTTTCTAGTGAAATTTGAATTGCATTCTTTTTTAGTCTACATGCACTGACCAGTCTAATATGAAATGTTTTACTCCTGGTCTGCGAGCACAGTTGATCTGACTGCACTGCTCCTGCTAGACTTTCCCTCAGACTGAAGCAATCTCTCTTCCATGCAGACTTCCCAGGGTGTGCCATATCTTTGTGTCAGTGTTTGTGTAGTACTCAGCCCTGGTTTGGGCTCAGGCCTCCCCAGGATCCCACAAAACAGGAGTGGTAACCCTTGGTGGATCCGGTGTTTCGCAGATGTCTCTGGCAGTCCTGTCAGCGTGGACATTGGGAAGTGCCACTCCAGCAGAGTGGGAGCAGATCAGCTCCCTCCACCTCGGCATCCCAGGGCTCTCCAGACAGTCCTCCATGCTTGATTTCCTAAGGAGAAGGAAGGTGAGAACATTGTGCTTGTATCACTGCAGGAGTGCTTGGGGCAGGGGGAGAGCTGTGTGATGGTGCCTGGAGCTGTAGTTTTATACCTCTTCTAAAAGTCCTGGTTTTGGCTTCTGGGAAAACACCTTCACTGAGCCTCTTGTCCTCCCCTGGCCTGAGCTGTGGCTTGTGCAGGTGAGATAGATGGAAACTTTCCAGCAACTCTCCCTCGGGCCAGAGGAAGGGCTGGGTCTCAGCCAAGAGGCTGTGGCAATGCCCACCCCTGTGCCCTGGTAGCCTGAGTGCAGGTCTGGCCACTACCACTCTGCTCTACCTGGGAGCTGTTCTCCAACATGCAGAGGGGCTGGAGGCCCATTTCTGCCTCTTTGAGCAAGACTGGTGGGATGCCATCCCCACATGATGTGCCATGTGTCACTTCTGGGTGGGACTTAGGTAGCCTGTGCATTTGAGGACACGACTGTGGTGCTCTTCTCAACCTGGGAGAGCTGACATTGCCAAAGTCCCATCTCCACCAGGATAAGAGACCCTGGAGAGGGGTGGAAACGAGCTCTGTGGGTGCTGCCCGTGTGTGTCCTGTGAGGGATGACAAACCTCATATGCCCTTGTCCCATTGTTACCAGCACTGGTGCAGTGTCCTGCAGGCAGGCAGGGAGGGAGAGAGGAGTAAAAGCTGAGCCGGTTCCAGGTCAGGGGAGGTTCGTGTCAGGAGCTGATTCTCTCTTCCTGCTCCTGGACAGCCTTCGGGAGGTGGAGGTGGTCGAGGCCTGCCATTGCAGCACCTGCCCCGAGGAACGTCTCCAGCTCCCAGCCCTGAAAACCTTCTTTCCAGACTCTCCCTGGGAGGTCACAGTTGACACAGGGAAATGCTCTGACCCAACGCACGGTGCAGGTGTGAGCTCCTCTCCCTCCCTCCCTTCCACTGGGAATGACCATGAGTTCTTGTGTGACCAGCACCAATGCCCAAGCTCAGGGCACCCAGTCTGCTGAGCAGCACCTCCACCTTTGCAGGTATTGGGATTGTGTTTTGGGGTTGGGTTTGCTATTTCTGGGCCCTCACAGCACAGTTCTGCAGGCACAGTGATCATTCTGTGCCCCATGCATGGGTGAGGATGGGAGTACAACCACCTCGTGTACAGGAAAATGTCCTGTAACCAGAGAGCATGGAATCAGAGTAACCCAGGCTGGAATCAGAGTAACCCAGGCTGGGAGGGACCCCAGGAGTCTCTGTTGCAACCTTCCCAATCAAAGCAAAGAAACCAACCTGGTGGTAAAACTCTGCCGGARACAGAGCCCTGGAAAATGCAATTTYCTTACTGACAGTCTGAAATGCYSTTTTAGTACYARTGAACTACACTGAYGGTTCAAAAATCACTTGAAAACKGAAACTTTAAATCATTCCAGATGGGTTAAAACCTCCCACTGGGACAAAACTGAACTGGTTCATTGTGAACTGGTGAACTGCCTCATGAGTTCACTTATAAAATAACCCGAGACATGTCAATGGAGATGAACTGGTCATATTTTATCAGAATGGAAAGTTGTGTTGAAATGATTTACCGCAACTGTTTGACAAATTCCATTGTCCTGGAATTTGCTGATGTCATTTTTTTGGTATTTCTAAAACCCAACCCGTTCAAACCTCCCGGCAGCTGCTGTGGCAGGGCTGGGCACYGCCACTAGAGAGGGACAGAGACCGCGGGAGTGCTGAAGAGAGCCTGGAGAGCAGAGCAAGGGCTTGGGAATTCATTCCGTGATTCTGTGAGCTGGAGAAACTGGGAGAGGGTAACGGACTCCCGAGGGCTCTGCCCGGGGCTGGGTCCCCTCCTGGCTCTGCACAGGCGGCAGCACCAGCTGCTTATCCAGCTGCAAGTGGAAAAGGCAATTAGGCAGCGTGAAGTRCTTTCTTCCAGAGCTGGGAGAATCAGCATTTACTTCCCAGACGTGTTAGTGGAAGGTGTGGGAGGATTCTGTTGCCCCGGGGGAAGGGGAATCTCCGTCATGGTGATAGCCCAGGACTACCAAATGTGAACTCACCTGCCAGCTTTGCCTCTGCCCTAGGGCAGGGCTCTGCACTTTCCTTCTGCATCTTCCCCTGCAAAGTTGGCCTGATACTTTTAGTGTCATGGTAAAGACTTAGAAACATCAGAGGAATGAGGGCGGGGGTGGTGTGGGGCTGGAGAAGGATGTTAAAGTCTCACCCAGAATTACTGACTTCCAGAAATCCGTTGTTATTTCGTGTCCCACTCTTAAGGCATCTCAGAGAGATTTGCTTTCAGAAATCACTTTTCCTTACCCTGAAAACAGCTCCAACCTGGAACAAAGAAATCTCCTCCAGGAGCTGCCGAAGTAGCTGGGAGGCAGCAGGAAACTCTCAAAACCCCTTTCAAAGCCCGGAGCCAAATACAAACCTTGAAAGATCCACACGCAAGGGCTGGGGCAGGTCCTAGATAGAGCCCAAAGCCACTTGGCCATCAGCTCAGCCATCCTTCTCCCCCTCCTCTAACTCACTCAATGAAGATTCTTAATGCTAATTTACTTGGTGAGGGGAGAAAAGTCAGGAGAGTTAGCACAGAAACAACGTGCTGGTTTCTTTCTGCACAGAATATCCTTCAGACTGAGCCAGGCGGGACAGACTGTGCCTCTGCCTTTCCACTGGATGTAGTTACAGCTGGACAACCCTTGTCTCTCCTCTGCAGCTGCTGAGCTGCTGCCTGGGCCAACAGGACTTGCCTCAGTGGTGTGTCCTGGTTTACAGTCACACAGCAGCAGGGGTGTGGCTGTTGGCATGCCCGCCCAGAGCCCCCCAAACTGGGAATGTCAAATCCAGATAGAACTGCTTTGTGCCCTGGGAATGTTTCATTGAGTTAAAGCTCGAATAGGGAAAGAAAAGGCAAAGCAGGACTTGGTTCTGCACCCACAGAGCTGGGGGCATTGTTTGCCTCCCCCTTCCATCCCTCTGGTACCAGCATTCCTTCATCCCTCACCCCCAGAATCGGGACCTTCCCTTCCCTTCCCTTCCCTTCCCTTCCCTTCCCTTCCCTTCCCTTCCCTTCCCTTCCCTTCCCTTCCCTTCCCTTCCCTTCCCTTCCCTTCCCTTCCCTTCCCTTCCCTTCCCTTCCCTTCCCTTCCCTTCCCTTCCCTTCCCTTCCCTTCCCCAAGAGAGCCCGTGACACCAACATCTGAGAAGCCAGTGCAGGGCACAGTCCCCGGTAAAACCAGGGGGAAATGCTGAATGAGTAAATGCTAAATCACATTCCCCATTCCCTGGTGTGAGAGTGTGGCCCTGGAAAATGTGCTGCCATCAATGTTTTGTGTTGAAATACAGTTTTTCTCTGAGATAACATGAAAAGCGAGCACAAGCAAGTGCTCACTCCCCAGAGCTGGGGCTTTTGCAGGGGCAGGGACAGCATTCATAATTTGCACCCACAATAACCTCCCTTTCCTCGTGGATGGAAATGGGGATGGAGGAACAAAACTTACCACTGAGGCCCTGAGCTGGTGAAGGAATGAGTCCCAAACTCCCAGCTGGGACCCTGACACAGAGAGCAGCCTTTTCCAGTGGGTGCTGCTGCAGGAATCTCGGGTGCAGTTCTGGGTGAATTTTCCTTCTCGTTTCCTTGCAGATGGACTTTTCTGTGTGCCCACGAAGTTCAGCACTGCTCTGATCAAAAACCCACRTGGTGGGCAGGTGGTTCGGACACTGGAGAGCTGCAAAATGAAGGAAAAATGCTATCGCATCTCCCAGGTGGAATGCTACTATGAAATTGTGCAGAGCTCTGCAGGACACAGGGAGGAACAGCTCAGAGTAGGTTTCCAGGGGTTTGGCTCCTCTCTGGGGTGTCAGCTGGGCCTGCATGGGGAGTTTGAACTGCTGGGTGGACGCTCTGACATTGGCAGCTTCATGCTGGTGTCAAACTAGTGATGCTCGAAAAGGCTTAGAAATAAAACCCCATAGACCGGTGTCTATAGAGCAGGTATTTGTTTATTGCAGCACTGGAGGTGAGGGGGATTTCTCTTCCTAACCCACCTGCCTTTGCTTCAAATTAGCACATATTTATACAGTAAGCAGGGTGTAACTTTACCATTGTCACTGCCCCTCATACACCCACCATACACCCACCACCATACATGAGCACGGCAATACACGATATCACAGTTTTACAAGTGCACATGTGTCATCCTCAATTCGGTGGTCATGGGGGTCTCCCTCTAATGAGATCCCATCCTCTTCATCATGGTGGATTTTTCACCTTTGTCTTCAGGGCATGCACAGTTGTGATGTTCATGGTTTTTTCTGGTCCTCCAAGTCTTCATTTTCAATTATTTTGCTGAGTGTCCCGTGCTTCTCTCAAGTTCTCATTAGTGCTCTCTACTGTTCCTTGTTTATAACATCTACCTGTCTACTTTCTTCAGAACTTTTCTGATTTATGCCTCTTGGTGATTTCATGTATCTATGTACTAATCCAGCTGGTTAGATTACGTGCAGTTGGTATACTACATGTTGCTAATACACTAAAAAAACTTATAGCAATATATATATATAAAGCTATCATTGATAATATATTGAAAGTGATTACATTGTATTTTAACCATATGTAAAAAAGTTATTACATTCTTAAATTGATAACATATAAAAAGGCTATAGAAAGTTTTCAATTAGTAGGCCTCATAAGCACCTTGCCACTTTGATATAGATCATATGTATCACTAGAGTGGTAAAAATCTCACATTTGTATTCTCTTGTGCTATAAAATGTGTTTTGCTGCCACTAATTTGTGCATACATTAAGGCCATAAAGGAAAGAATGGCTTTTTCTTTGGAGTGAGTAATTAAAAAGTAATTTAGGAACAATGGTATATTTTTAAAATGTTTAGTTGTTAGGTATGTCTTCAGTTMAATGGAGACCCTACTGTCTGCTTGAGCATACCAGTGTGCACAGAGACCCCTGATTCAAAAAACACTGCTGTGTCCCCAAACTATTTSTCACCAGCTGTGCCTTGCTGCTGTGCTTATTTGGGAATGGATGCTGAGCCTGAGGCTGGAGAGAGGGTGCAGGGTCCTGGGGTGTCCCTGCTGAGGTGCTGCAGGGGATTTTCATGCCTTTGTTTTGCAAATCTTTGCAGGAAATCGATGTGGGGAGGTGCTTGGGCAGCTGCTCCTCGGGGGATCCCTGCTTGCTTAGGTAAGCACAGCTGCCGGGTCCATCCGCTCCCTCCCACACATCCGCACCCGGCCCGGGCGGGGCTGCCCCGGGCCCTCTCACCCAACGCATCCCGGGCTGGGGGGACACGGGAGCAGGGCTTGGGAGCACCCCCAGCTCACCCACCATCCTGAGCCATGCCGGGGGAGGGGAGAGCAGGACCTGCAGCAATGGGGCCGAATTGGGCAGCTGGTGACAGAGCCCGTGGTGTCCCAGGACAGCAGACACAGATCCTGACAGTGACTTCTGCACCCTGGGATGTGTCAGTCCCGTCCCTCACCTGCTGGCAATGCTGTGGGGCAGGAAGGGTACGGGGGTTGCTGAGGCAGGGTCAGTCCGGGGAGTTCTTTCAGGCTGAAGGGGCAGGACTTGGCRTTGATTTTAGACWTAAAAAYGTGGGTCCCCAGCAYAGGAAGGAYGTGGACAAGTTGGAGCCAGKGCAGAGGAGRSCACGGAGATGYTGCAGGGCTGGAGCCCCTCTGCTCTGGGRCCAGGCTGGGAGAGCTGGGGGTGCTCACCTGGACAGGAGAAGGATCCAGGGAGAGCTCAGAGCCCCTTTTGGGGCCTGAAGGGGCTCCAGGAGAGCTGCAGAGGGACTGGGGCCAAGGGCTGGAGGGACAGGACACAGGGAATGGCTTCCCAGTGGCAGAGGGCAGGGATGGATGGGATATTGGGAAGGAATTGTTCCCTGGGAGGGTGGGGAGGCCCTGGCACAGGGTGCCCAGAGMAGCTGTGGCTGCCCCTGGATCCCTGGCAGTGCCCAAGGCCAGGCTGGACATTGGGGCTGGGAGCAGCCTGGGACAGTGGGAGGTGTCCCTGCCATGGGATGAGATGAGCTCTAAGGTCACTTCCAACCCGAACCATTCTGGGATTCTTTGAAAGCAAAGGGAAGCAAATCAAACCACACAGGAAAAAAAGAATCTGCTCTTCTCGGGCAGAGGGAAGTGRCAGTTCTGGAGTCACTCCAGGAGTAAGGAATGCAGGGAGATGCTGCAGGGAGAAAGCTGCCTCCCTTCCCCTCCATCTCCAGAGCCTCTGCCCTTTCCCCAGGCGTGACTGGAAGACCCAGGGTGTGGGGGGCCGGTGGTGCACTGGGGATGAACTGGGGATGGACTGGGATGGACTGGGGATGGACTGGGATGGACTGGGGATGGAATAGGGATACACTGGGGATGGACTGGGGATGGACTGGGATGGACTGGGGATGGACTGTTTTTCTCTGACTGCACTGGAGGTTTACCGGGGCTGTGCTCTTTTTTTCTAACTGCAGGGAGTCACAAGGTGGAGAGAAATGCCTGATTTGGGCAGAAGCTGCCCCGAGCCGCTGTGCCTCTCACGGCTACGACGTGCACAGGTTCCGGAGCCGCCGGGACCATCGCTGCCATCCGGGAGTGCAAGTGTCGGGGATAGCGGGGCTGGRAGCTGCGGGGGGAGGGAGGGCTCCCGGAGGCCCTGCCAGACTGTCTGTAGGATATGTAAATGAGAGAAGGCTATTTTTTGAATAAAAGCTACTTTAACCAGCGGGTATAAATGAACTCTCCACAAAATGTTTTGTAGCTTGTCAAATAAACATCATGGGCAATTTGCAGCTCCTTGGGGCTCCGCTGTGAAGGTCCACGTCCCCTCTGCATCCAGAATACGAGGAGGATGCAGCCGTCTGGCACGGGCTGGGGGAGCACCGGGTGCTCCCGGTTACAAACTATGGAGCCGGAGGCAGGAGAGGGGACCGCAGCTGGGCACATTGGGGCACAGCTGGCACTGCTGCAGGCACCCCCAGATATCCTGTGAGATACGCTGCTGGTGAGCTGGGAAGAGAGGGGAAAGGATCCCTGGCACAGGGATAATTTCCTTTCTTTATTAACTCCAGCCTGTTGGTGCCTTCATGCCTGTTCTGCATAATTAACAGCCCTTTGGGTTGGAATAAACTGTAGGCACCTCTGGACATTAGGCTTCACCGTGTCTCCCATCAGGTGGTCCTAGCAGGGCTTCAGCCAGGTTGCTGAATTAGTTAATTAATACTAATTTTTTCCATTCAGTTCCATGGCAGTTGTACCGTGTGTCATGTCCACCTGCACCAGCCTGGTTTGTCTGTGATTAGGGAACAAGACCTAAAGAATTGGCTTTTATCCTAACACCCAGATATTTAACGAAGTTCAAACATTCAGGACTTAGCAGCAAATGCCTTTTAATTCCCAGGAAGCCAATTGGCTTTATTAAAAAAAAAAAATWAAAAAAAAAAAAGGAAAATAAAGCTGCACCAGAGTTCTGCTTCTGCTGTGGTGACCCCACATCCCGGGGCCATAGCACTGCCGAGTCCTCTGCTCTGCCCCATGGCCTCGGCTCCCCAGGGGGACACAGCCACCCCACCCTGCACACCTGACAGGGACATGGGATGGGGACACCACTGTGACACTGAACCCCTGCCACRCTCTCAGCAGCGGCTGCGGCAGGGTCAGCACGAGCGGCTGCAGCAGGACCGGTATGGGAAGGGGATGCTCATCTTGATGGGCTGCATTCCTCCACACAAAGGTGCTCCGATTTGTCCCATTAGTGCCATCATTAAAATCCAGTTAGTCTCCTACGGAGAGCAAATGCAAGCCCAGCCAAGAGCCTGGCAAGGGGCTGGTGGCTGCAAACCCCCGCGTCCCCTGCCAGCCCTGCGAGTGCTGGTGAGCCATCCTCCCTCCTGCTTGTGTACTGGGCTAATTGGTGCAGGGGGCCCGGGAGCCTGGCTTCTCACCTTGTTAGCATGGCAATTAGCTCTCTTTACCCTCCTGATTGCTCCTGTGCATATTTCACTCCAATCCAGCTTTCCAGTGAGTTATAAATGCAGCACCAGGGAGAGCAGGGGAGCTGAGCTGGGACAGGGAGCACAGAGCCATGCTGGGGGCTGTCCTGTTGCTGCTGGCCTTGGCCAGGCCGGTGTGCCCGAGCCCGGCCAGCRTGGAGAGCCGGCGGGCTGAGGCACTAAAGAAACTCCTGGAAGTCTTTGGCATGGAAGACCCTCCGCCCCCCCCGGCTCACTTCAAGCAGCCCCCCCAGTACATGGTGGATCTATTCAACACTGTCGCCAATGCGGATGGTGTCACCAAAAACCCTGACATCCTGGAGGGCAACACCGTTCGCAGCTTCCTGGATAAAAGTAAGAGGGGTCCCTACGGTGCTGGGATGGGGCTGTGGGAGGGGCTGAGCATGTCCGGCAGAGGGGCCGCCCCTGSTTTTGCTCTACTCAACCCATCCTTCTCTCCAGCTCACAGTGAGGAGATGAGGTTCCTGTTTGTCCTCTCCAGCGTGGCCAAGAATGAGAAGATTCTGACGGCAGAGCTGCACCTCTTCCGCCTCTGGCCGAGGGTCACAGATAGGCCCAAAAGGCACCACTTCTGTCAGGTGAGGGTGGGGATGGGGATGGGGATGGGGCTGTCCCCCAGCCTGTGCCCACGGATGCCACTGGCACATTGTAGTCACTTGGCTGCAGTGGGAGCACAGCCTGCCTCTGAGATCACATGAACAAAGGTTTCGCAGAGAATCATGATGATTTAACTGTGGCAGGTTCTTAAATATTCTTCTCGTTTGTGCACATATCAGCAAAGGCACACCAAGGTTGTTACAGATCCATGCTGACAATTCCCCATCTCCTTCTACTCCTCTGCTCAGGGTCACACCCTAGGCCAGGCTATGCCAGGGGTGACCACCTTTTGCCTTCCACAGGTCAGTGTCTACCAGGTGCTGGAGAAGGACAATCCAGACACTCCTGGAGGGAAGAAGCTGCTGGCAGCCCGGCTGGTCTCACTGCAGACCTCGGGCTGGGAGGTCTTTGCCATCACGCCGGCTGTGAGTCACTTTTCCTCTGTTTTGGGCAGCAGAGGGAGTTTGGGGGTTCACATGCAGGAGGTTTTTTAACCCATTTCAGCCCCAGCARCCTTTCAGGCTCCAGTGCAGTTTCCTGTCTGTAGTCTCTGCAGTGACATGGGGGGATGCATCCTCTGGTGGAGGGGACAAAAGCCCTGCCAAGGGCCCCGGGGGCAGCTTCATCCTTCCCCAGGCTTGTCTCGCTGCTCTGCAGGGAGCAGTGGTGCTGGCTCATGCTGCAGTGTGCCCTCCAGCCTTGCAGCAACCCCTTCTCATGGCACACAGTGTGGCCTCAAGGGGTCCCTTGCGCTGTCCTGCTGCTGGCCTGGCACCTGTCTCTGGGGACACCAGCCCAGTGCCTGTCCTGGTCCGTGGTGACACAGGTTTGGCTCCCCAGGTTCGTGACTGGACTGAAGATGAAAGCAGCAACCAAGGTTTGCTGGTGACAGTCCAGGGCCTGGGKGGGAGCCCGCTCGACCCTCCACCGCTGCAGTTTGCATCTGGCCGGGGCCACCACGAGAGCAAGAAGCCCATGTTGGTGCTGTTCACAGACGACGGGCGCCGGGGAGCGTCGCTGCCCACAGCTGGCTTCCCAGGTGAGTCCCACATGCCTGGCACWGTTCCCTTGTGCCACCATCCCTGTCCCGAGGTGCTCCCCACAGGTGAGCTCCTCAAATCCAGAGGAGCTCCTTCCCTGGCTGGAGGGAGAGGCTCCCTCCCTTCTGGTGTAGCCTGCTCAGGGATGTTGCCTGCTTGCAGATGTGAAGCTGGATTTGAGTGTGGCCGTGAGACTGAGGCTGTCACCTCCTGGTGGCTCTGCCTGGGTTGGGGACAGGCTGTGACCAGAGGGCTGCAGACAAAACTGTGGGGAGGGGTGGCCAGGGGGCTTGCAGTACTTTCTCAGCACTGCAGTGGCTGATGGCATCAGATGCTCCTTTTTGACAGATTTGAAGCCTCAGGCTTCTGATCTCCCTGCCAAGATGCCGCTGCCCAAGCTGGGCAGGTCACGCAGCGCGCGCTCGCTGGACCGGCTGCAGCCCTGCCAGAGGCACCCCTTGTCTGTGGACTTTGAGGAGATCGGCTGGTCCGGCTGGATCATCTCCCCACGGGGATACAACGCCTTCCACTGCAAAGGCTCCTGCCCCTTCCCACTGGGTGAGAACATGCGGCCCACCAACCACGCCACGGTGCAGTCCATCATCAATGCCCTGAAGCTGAGCGAGGGTGTCAGCAGCCCCTGCTGTGTGCCTGACAAGCTCTACTCCATCAACCTCCTCTACTTTGATGAYGATGAGAACGTGGTCCTCAAGCAGTATGATGACATGGTGGCCGGGAGCTGCGGCTGCCACTGAGGCAGGAGGAGCAGGGGGCTGGAAACACCACTGCAGTGGAGGCGGCACCTGCTTCCTCCAGAGCATCAGTGTGGGGTCTCTGTCCCACAAACCCTCTAAAAGAGACTGGGATGGGCAAAGMAAGGGGGTGCTGGCTCTACCCTTAGTGTGTCACCCCCTGGCAGTGCTTGCCCGGGAAGGCTCAGGGCCAAGCTCTGATTAAAGCAACCCGACCCAGCAGCCCCAGGGCTCCATTTTGGGGTGCCCTGTGTRGGGGTGTGGGTGTCCCTGCCCGTGCAGAGGGTCCTGCAGGCTGTACTATATGTATATAGCAAGAGCACTAATATATGACAGAAACTGCCTGTACAGTGTCATGTAAATGTCTGTACATTCCTGCATTGCTGTGATTTGTAAAATTAATTCAGAGCATCTATTAAAAGTGCCATTCTCCAAAGCCTGTCYGTGGACTCTGAACTGCTGCCAGGAATGGGGCATGCAGATATCCTGCAGGCACAGGGAGGGGGGTGCACACGGAGRGGTGAAGATCCAGCCACAGCACAATCTCCTGGGATGAGGAGAGGAGATTGGTGTGCCCCATTTCTTGGAAGCTGAATGATCTCAGGATCCATCAGCCTGCAACAGGGGTGAWGGGGGTGCTTGGGGGAATGTGTGACAGGGTCTGGGGTGGGAGGGGTGTGTGCRTAGAGGTGCCTGGAGCTGTCATGGTTTAACCCAGATGGCAATTAAGCACCATGGAGCCACTGGCCTCCCCTCCAGTGGGATGGGGAGGAGAATCAGAAAAGGTAAAACATGGGYTGAGATAAGGAAACTTCAATAATGGAAATAAAATAAAATGTGGTAATACTTAATAATAWTTGTAATGGAAAGGGAGACATCAAAAGGATAGAGTTATAAAACCCAAGATAGACAAGTGATGCCCAATACCCAGTTGCTCAGCACSCACTGATCTGTGCCCAGCCTGTCTCCCAGCAGTGATCAGCCCCTCCCAGGAGACTSCCCCAGTTTACACMCTGGGCAGGATGTTCTATGGCATGGAATGTCCCTCTGGCCAGTTYGGGTCAGCTGTCCCAGTTGTGCTCCCCCTCAGCTTCTTGTGCAGCYCCTYGCTGACAGAGCATGAGATACTGAAAAGTCCTTGACTTGAAGTGAGCACAACTGAGCARCAACCAAATCAGCAGYGCATGATCAACATTATKCTCATCCCGAATCCAAGATRCAGCACTGTGTTCAGCCACTGGGGCAAAAATGAACTCTATTACAGCCGAAACAAGGACAGCAGGGTAGGATGGCTCTGGGGAAGATGCTCAGAGGAAACTGCTGCACCCAGAGAGAAGGGTYCTCATGGAAGAGAAATGGGGTGGAAACCAGAGCTGCCCAGCGCTGTGGGGTCAGGTCAGTGCTGGGGAGGTGTTGAGAGGGTGGGTGTCAGTGTGGGTATGGGGGAGTGGGTGTGGGTGTTGGTGGTCAGGGAATGGGTCCCCTCACACCTGCTGGCACAGCCCCCTTGTCCTCTCTCAGTGGGGTCCAGCTCTCAGGGGAAGCGTGGTTGTCCCTGCCAGAGCGTTCAGTCCCTCCAAGTCTCTTCCCAAGTTTCCAAGAGCAGCAGCTTAGCCATAGTCCCAGGTGGAYACCAGGGTGAATCTCCAAGCCCAGCTCACAAATGAGTGAGTCCCATCCTGGCCTGGCTGGCACCAGCATCTTCCCTCTGCTCACCTGGAAGCAGCACCAGCACCTGTTGGCCCTTCCCCATGCCAATCCTCCCTGCAGCCCAAGGTTCCTCTCTCCACCCCACCCAAGGGAAGGGTGTATCCCTTCAGGATGTGCATTGACTAGACATGGTCCCACACAGGAGGGCAAATCTTTCCCCTGTGCACCCCGGACATGTCCCYCACTGCCTCCCATGATGTGCACAGGGCAGAGCCAACTGGTGTGTCCTGATCAAGTGCAGGTCCYAGCTCCAGTTCCAATGCATCTAGGGCCAGGCACCTCATTCCAAATCTAATGCATGGATAGRGTCATCTGCATCCCTAAGCCCTGCCCTCATACTGATGGACTTGTGAGCCCTGGGGAGACGCCCCCTCCTCATCTCAGATGATGAGCAGTTCATTGAATCACACACAGTGGCTGGACAAGAACCCATGACAATAGAGGGTTTGGCCTGGTTTATTAAATGCCTGTTCCTGGGGATGCTCTGGATACAAGATCCATGTGCCTATAATGCCTGTGGGTCCCATCACAGCAGCATCCTGAGTCAGGATTGTGCCCCAGGTTCCAGGGCAGCAGGAAGAAGAGCAGATTTGGTTGGAAGGATGCATGTCTGTAGCCTTCCCTCTTCTTTCACCCAAATCCCCACGCTGGACTAGGCTGGGGCTGCTYGGCTGGGAGGGAGTCAGGGGGCCCAGGGCTGGAGGAGCCTGTGCATGTCCCACTCAGTGGGGAGTAGAGCAGCACCTGCACAGGGGTCACACTGGGCTRCTAACCTCCAACAGGTTACAGTTCAGCCTCACCACTCACTCCCTGTGATGGTGGGGTGCCCCTTGCCTCAGCCCATGGCAGGCAAACACCCTGTCCTGGCCATACAGAGCATCCCTGGGGTACAGGGCTTGCTGGGGAGATGGCCAGGACAGAGGGCAGGGGATGTCTGGGGGTGGGGAGCCTGTGGTCAGCGGTAATAGTGCGGGTCAGCTCTCCAGCACTCCGAGAACTTCTGCAGGACTCGCTCCTTCAAGCGGATCCTCCTGGAAAGCTGATGTGACTGACTCATCTCATGGGCCTTCAGCTTGGCATAGTAGTCAGAAAACTTGTTGTAGAGGATGGAGATGGGCATGCCATTGAGGATGATGCCGAAGGAGATGCAGACAAATGCCACCATCCTGCCAAGTATTGTGTCAGGCACGGTGTCTCCATAGCCCACGGTTGAGAGGCTGACCTGTGCAAGGAAAGGAAAGGATAAAATCCYATGGGAACAAGCCCAGCAGACCCTGCTGGCTAGTGTTGGAACTCACTCCCTTCCCTCTGTGGAGCAACTTGTCCCCTGTGACCAGTACCAGACCATGAGGGTGGCCAGCTGAGCTGTCCCCTCTCCAGAGGCTGCACGGGCAGGGCTCTACTGTCCAGGCTGTGCTCAGCAGGCCTGCAGAGCCCAAGAAAAGGGCTGGGTGAGCCCCAAAAGCAGAGATCAGAGGGAAGACCCTGCTCCCTCCCTGCTTTGGGTGTGCCTCTTCAAAGGCAGCTGTACACCCCTGAGCCGAGCCTTCCCCAGCAGTCCGTGTCTGCTGGAGCTTCCTTCCCCCTCAGAGCTGTGGCTCCAGAGCTTCCTGGCCGTGAGCTGCCTGGTCCCAGAGGAACAAAGCCTCCTGGAGCCTCCCTCCAAGGGAAACAGAGGCACTGCCTGGGAATGAATCACATTTTGTGACTGGGGAGCACGACTGTGGGGACAGGGTGAGAGCTGAGGCAGGGAGGTTTGGGCTTGTCAGGGAGCTGTGCTYCCAAGGACAGGCTCAGCATGGGATGTTGAAACACCTGAACCTGATGATGCTGCTGAGTGATTTTGCCCTTCCTCAGGGAGGGATGAATTTGAAGCAGATAGCCTTTGGTCACCAAGGGGGATTATAAGAGCAGAAATGATCTGTGGGATCATTTMATCTGTGAATCAAAATGCCCTCATAACCCCTGTCTCACAAGTGCTCTAGCTGCTCCCTRTCTCAGAGGTAATCCCAGGTTTATTACAGTGCTCAGCTCTGCAGAGCTGCTGGCTCCCAGCATGAGCAGGGCAGCAAATGGGAAGCACACCTCAGTCTGTGTCCTCTCTCAGGACATGGGCTGAGGAAGAATGTGACCATGGGTCCCACACACAGCCCTGGATTCCCCATCTCAGACCCACAAGCTCATGTGCCTCTTGACTCAGCAGGGCTGCAATGCTGCCCAGGCCTCAGGCTGTCCAGGGTGGCTGTCCACAGGCCCAGAGGCTGCATCCTCCGAACACTTGGGCCTCAAAGCAGCTAAAGCCTGGGCTCAGTCACATCCCCCTTGTTCAGCTCAAGCCTGGAGGTTCCCAGGCCACTGCTTCTGTCCCACCATCCCACCCCAGCACCAGCTTCTGAGCCTCTGAGCTTAGTCCAAACCTTTGATTTCTCAGAGCATGCAGGGCTCTGGGTTTTCCACCTTTACAGAGCTGGTAGGAAGGCTGGATCCTTCCTGCCTCCTGGCCAGCAGCACTGGTGAATCCCCTGAGCACCAGGGCAACCCCTACCCACAGATCCTCCCCCACCCTTCCGGAAGAAGCTGCTCACACCTTACCGCTGCCCACCACCACGCGTAGGGGATGCTGGTGAAGTCAGTGCCGGGGACATCGTGTTCCACCGAGTGTATCAGAGCAGAGAAGGTGAAGACCCCCATGGCAATAAAGAGGAGAAGGCAGCAAACCTGCTGGTAGCACTGGCGCATGGTGAAGCTGAAGGCCCGCAGGCCGGTGGAGTGACGCGCCAGCTTGAGGATGCGGAAGATCCTCATGAGCTTGATGAGCTTGAGGACTTTGCCCAGTTTGCTGACATTCTCCACCTTGTGCAGCTCCTCATGGTATTGCATGTCTCCTTCATCCATATTTTCAAAGAGGAGCTGGATGTAGAAGGGCAGGATGGCCACCAGGTCTACAGCATTAAATGCTGCCCGCAGAAAGTTCTTGAAGCTGGAGGAGGATATGAGGCGCATGAGGTATTCGGAGGTGAAGAAGATGGCACAGATCATCTCCATCTGCTCCATCCACATCTTCCCTGTCTTTTTCATCTCCTCCACTGTGCTCAGTGTCATGCCCACAATGGAGATAAGCACAAAGAAGCTTGACATGACAGCAATGATCTTGGCTGGGATAGAAGAGTATGGGTTCTCAATGAGGTTCCAGACCGCCTTCCGAAACCGACCCAGAAATTTGCCATTAAACTGCTCCCCTGACTCCAGGGGCTCCAGTTCTGCCTCCAGCTCCTTCTCTATTTTCAGGTACTCACTGAGTTCATCTTGCTTTTCCTCAAACAGGATCCGGCAGCARCGTTGGGAGTATTTCAGATGGATTCCCCAGTACTCGATTTCCTCAACAAAGTTACTAGGGCACATCTCTTCCATCACCCACAGGACCCCACTGCGGTAGAAGTGGAAGATGTAGTGGAAAATCATAGGATCTCTATCAAAGAAGTACTCATTCTTCTGCACCAAGTAGTCATCACAGAGCTGCAGCTTCTTCATAGGGTCTGTATAGAGGGCTAGTTTCCCAAGCCGGGTGATGGGATACTTGGCCAGTATCTTGCAAGCTATCTGGAACAATTTGCCCCCCACGTTAATGTTGAGSAGGTACTTGTTCCTTTGGATGGGAGTCTGGCTCTTCTCCTGGTTTTCGTCTGCCACATTCTGCATGGAGTTCCATTGCCTTATCAAACTGTCCTGGGCAAATGGGATGTGGGATTCCTCTTCCTCCGGGGTCCGGYAGCGGCCCCGGTGATCCCCTATCTTCAGGCTGGCTGACAGGCTCGCACGCCTGGTCCACTGTTGCCTCATGGTGCCTGGCCTTCCGAGGCAGTGACTCCCGTCACAGACTGTAGGACAGCAGCTCTGGCTTCATGGGGAGGCTCCCACCGGGCACACACTGACTGGGTCGAGCACTGCGAGCTCTGGGCAGTGGAGTGGCTGCCCAAGGGGCACAGCTGTGTCCTGGTGCCACGTGGCACCTGCCAGGGTCCCAAAGCCGATTGCTGATCAGATTGGGGTTTGCATTGGGAGTCGGAGGCGGCCAAGCGCCCGCTCCTTAAGACACTAATGAGATTGAGGCGCTAGTCCTTTATGTAAGGAGCTATTTCCAGCTCTGCACTTCTYTTTTTCCCCATTCTGTTCTTATTAGCTGTTTGCGTTTGTCGCATGCTACCTGTTTCCTGGAAGGACATGRATGACAGCAAACTGCAAAGAGCATGAACTTGCCTCGATTTACCCTCCCTTGATGGGACAGGAAGGTGCAGACACACAGGATTTGTCTTGGCTTTGTACCCCCACACCAGATGCTGCTCTTGGCACCAGCCCTCCATTAAATGCTAATGCAGCTGCCCCAGCTCTGTCAGCTGTCACAGAAAGGGAAGGGAGATGGTCATAACACCCCAGCTCATCCCTCAAGTCCCACAGCACAGATTTAGAGGAGATGAGGTGAAGGAACCACCTCCACCTACACAGAGTGCCCGAGCAGAGCCCCTGAGGGACAGGCTGCTCCTGTGCCATCGCACCAGCCTTCAGCCTCACAACTCCCACAGGCAGGGGCAGGAACAGGGAACAGGACACTGGAAATGCACTTAGCCACTAGAAGGTCCTCTGAACTATTGGAACTGAAAAGGATGAAATAATCCTTTGGATTTGCAAATAAAAGGGGAACYAAAATTAAACAGGTTGATTTTTGAGGTCTTATCCTGGAAAATGACCCTACTTCAACAAGTAAAATATCACACTGGTGTCCGTGAACTGGTCTAATTAAATACAGAGATGAGGAGCACAAAGATGCTCCTGSCCTGAAAAGCAGCTCAGGCTCCACTACAATTGAAGTCTCTGAGCCTGGGGATTAGAACAACAAAAACACTTCTGGCAYCAGACAGAGGAAAGGAAATTGCTGTCAGAAACACAGCCCAAAGTTTTGGCACAAGATCCATTCAATGARTTTCTTTCAACCCTGAAGGACTCAGCTCAGGGAGCAGTAAGCAAAACCTGCAAGGTCTTGTGAATTTGCCCCGGGGCCTCACTCTCCACCCCACAAGCAAGAGCTCTGCCCTGTGACACAGAGCAGCCAGGCTCAGCTCGGCAGCTGCAGCTCAGAGGATGATCTGGGACCAGCTGGTGACAGCTGACCTCAGCCACATGGCCCTGCCAGCACCAATGCTTCACTTGGCCCCAGCTCAGCCCTGTCCTGCTGGGACTCCTGGAGTCCTTCCTGCCCTGCGGCACTCCCTGTTCCGTGCTGTTCTGATGAAGAGGGGACAAGTTCAGGTAGCTTTTTCACCTCACTTTTTGCTGAGCTCTCCCATTGTCCCCAGCTCAGCAGTGGCACCTCTGGTCCTACCGTGRCATCCGTTGTTCCTGTCCCCACCCTCTGCTTTCTTTGCTCCTGTATTCAATTTTCTGTGCTACAGCTGGTGTGTGCTGGAGTCGCGTCTGTCCCGGGTGGACACAGCAGCACTGAATTCTCCATAGTGCATCACACCAGCCCACCCATCCACAAGTCCTCTTTCCCAGGATGTAACAACYCAAAGGTGATGCAGCCCCTGGCCTCCCAACTACAGAATCCAAGCAAATGCACAAATAAAGGGAAAATAAAAACTCCAGAACTTGTTTATTTCACATTCTTTATTCTYCTATGTCAGTCACCACAGCTATCTGCACCTGTCCCTATGGAAACAGGTTGTGTGTGCCCTTGCAAATGACTCCTTGGTACTAAAAATAGCAGCCCTGGAACAACTCRGAACTCCATACCACATATAGAAGTTTTTCCCGTGGGGTAAGGCAGCACTCACACACTATTCAGGAGCAGAAGACTCCTGCTCCAAGGCTGACTGGTGTCTCCTTGGCAATCCAAGTTCCCACCTTCAAGGCACAGAGGTCAGCAGCCAAGGCAGCAGCTTGATGGACTTAGTGAACACTTGYTCAAGGTACACGTGGCTGATGCTGAACTACAGGCACTGGGCACTAATCTGCCCCTTCATGGTTGGTTCTGAGAGGTGCACAGCACCGAGTCCTTTGCCTGGGGCTCCACGTGCTGCACAGACAGTGTCTGACCCAAGATATGGCTTATTTCCAGGGACATCCCCACTAGACCAAGATGGTCAGAGCCCTGTCCCAGGGATGGAGCAGTCACAACTACTCTGGGCAATGTGTGCCAGGGTCTTACCACCCTCACCATAAAACCCTCTTTCCTTTATGTCCCACCTAAGCCCACCCTCTGTCAGTTTGTAACTGCTGCCCCTTGTCATTGATGAAAAGCCCCTCTCCATCTTTCTTACAATCCCCCCTTAGATWTGGACAAGATACAAGAAGGCTCCCCAGAGCCATCTCTTCAGGGTTTGCCCTAACAAAGGTGCAGGACCTTGCACTTGACCTTATCAAACTCCATGAGGTTCCTGTGGGCCAGAAGGTCCCTCTGGCTGACATCCCCCTCCCCCAGCTGCACTCCTCAGCCTGGTCTCAATCCTCAGACCAGGTCCACTTGATCCCACTCTACACACCTCTGCTGACAACATGGAATAGCATTGGTCCCAGTACGGATCTCAAGGGACACTACTCATGTCAGAACAGTTTTAAGGAAGGCACCGTTAAGAGTGTTGAGATGAGCCCCATGCAGCRTTCAGCTCTGGGGTGGGCAGAGCAGATCTGCCGAGGTGGAGATGCTTGTGGAAGGGAGTGTGAGAGGAGCTGCCTGCCTGGGGATGAGAAGCTCCTTGCCCCAWGTCGGCTCGGGTGACAGCACAGCAAAGACAGAGCAACTGTCACCCCCCACAGTGGGACTGTCAGGAAAAGCCTCCTGTGCATGGGACTGAGCAGCATCRAACAGCAGTGCAAACATGGAGTATTTGTCTGATCTGTGCAGCCAGTGAGCAGCTACAGATATGGGTGAGAAAGCTCCTGTTCCCTGACAAAATCCAGGGGGAAGAATGGGGCAGATGAAAAAAGGATYTTGGCTGGAAGTGGAAGGAGACAGYGGAACAGCACATGGCATTTCAAGGAGAAAAACATCTTCAGTTCCAAGGCCACACTGGTGGGCATCAGCATCAACAACTGTCACCCAGAACAATGAAGACATTTCTACCACCTTTGGGAGGGCTGATGCCACAGTGCCAGGGAAGGTCCTGTGCTATTTCTGGAGCCAAGGTAGTCCCACAATCTAAGACCCATTTCCAAAGGGAGCATCCTCTTGGTATTCCAGTGTAACAACAACAGATTTGAGTGCTGATGTCCAATTTAGTCAGGCTCTGTGGTAAGCAGGAGACAGACCAGGCTAGTCACACTGTATCACCTCGGGATAAGGATCCCTGTTACAAAGCCAGAAAAACACCTGGTTATTGACAGTCCTTTAGGAAAAAAACGTGGTTTGACTTCAATTTATATGAAGTGGAGAAAAAAAATCCCACATCAAAAGATTTGTATCTTAGCAGGACTGCTCTGTGTCCTTGGCAGGAGC